GTGTGCTGCTGTAAAAATTACACCATTGTGACTGATCAGTCTGTGGAGAGCTTCAGGAGTTTCACCTCTGCTGAATTTCAACTTGAGATCGAAATCTGGGGAGGATGGAGGGGGCTCCTCCCTTACCTAACTCTCACTCCAGGTACCCCATTTGGTTTTTTAGCTGCTGCCTTTGTGATATCCACTGGGGTATCAGACCTAAGGGTGAGGCCTTGGAAAGGAGAATGTAGGAAAATATTCCACCACTAAAATCTGTGCTATGTAGGAAGCCCCTGGGATACAGATGAGTACCTTCAGGTTTGTGGTACCAAGGACAATTCCCATAAGACTGTTTTAGAGTCTGACAGACCTCACTGTTGGGAAGCTTCTGAAAAAACACGGATTTTTTTCTCTCTTCAGTTCTATCTTATTACAGACCCAAGTTGTTTCTCGTAATAAAGCACACTACAGAGTTAACATCAAATCTAGCTAAATTACATTTTTCTTCACCCTTTTTCTTCTTAATTATCACAGTCTCAGTACTCTGAAGTTGCATTCTGTCACCAAATTGAGAGCCCTGCGTTTCAGAGGAGCACTGTGTTGACAGGAGAAGCACATTTAGCAAGTGCAGAAAGCAGCATGCTACTACCGTCATGTCGATTGGAAATTTCTTGTCCTAGTTTCTCATCCTGCAGCTAGTTCCATATGGGCAGCTTTAATGCATTTTGATTTAGTTAATTGTAACCAATGCTGAATTCTGCTTTCTGCACCCACTGCGTCAGGAGCCTAACAGGCTTCTCGCTGGTGTGAATGCCACTGCATCCGTGTGAATGCTCCTAACACTGAGCTGGAAAAACTGTTCTTCAGCTTCGTGAAACCTGAGAGCCAGGTTTGGGCAGAGTTAGGTTTAAAGGGCCTGGTATGACCCCATGGGTCCCTGGAGTTTAACCTCACGTCTTCTCAAATTCGCCTTCTGAAGTCACACTTGTAAATTGAATCTGTTCAGCGGCCTGGCTTGGACAGAGCATGGTTATAAATCCTTTGTCTTAGCTGGATCAGGTATATAGCCCTCAGTGAAGTGCAATAATGAACATTTACTTAAGAAGCAGATGTAGCCAGTTAACTTTATTCTGTCAATTTATCTAATCTATTTTTAAAAAATCAATCCAGCTTTTATGTATGAAGTAAAAAAACCCTTAATTTTGCAAAGCATATTTTGTAATTTCAGTTCATTTGCTTTGTTATTTTGTCTGAGATTTTTTTAGCCCATATTTTAAAAAATCAATCAACTGGTTCTCTTACTGAGAATGTACTGGTGGTGCCTTTACTGACTTTGTGGTGTTGTGGAAGCTGATTTATGAGGGCAGCAGGCTGGTAACAATGAACTGCATGTGTGTGCTCTGTAGCCAAAACGCTGAAGTTGCCATCAGATCCATTGCTGCATCAAGATTTTGTCTTAAAGGACAGAATGGAGGAGAATTTTGTGTCCATGGATTCCATGGGAGAAGTCAGAAGGAGCTGGGTCTTTCCGTGATGAAAAAAGGAAGAAAACCATGGAAATTCCCCACTGCAGCACTCTACCTGGGGTATTCTGCCCAGCTTGGCAGACAGCAAGGAAGATTCCTAGGCACACTCAGCACAACTCTCCAGGTTTCTGGTGAGATGCCTGAAGCCAATGCTTGCAATAGGAAAGTGAGTCTCTTGAATAGCAGGACAACTCCTGGCAATAAAGAGCTCAAGTACAGCCCCCAGAAGCGTCTCCCATGCCAGCCTCCCTAGTGCCCAACAGAAGGAAGAGACTATTTCTTCTGGGTGTATCAATGAAATAGAAAATTGCGGACAGAGGAAAGCTTCCTTATTCCCAGTTTTCAGCCCAGGTTTTTGCTGTCCTCTGCAGGAGCAGACAAGGTAGACTTGCACCAGGGAGTGGCAGTTCCATCCTTGTGGCTTTCCGCAGCATGGGGAGGATGCTCTGCGGTGAGAGTCAGAGGTGGAGGCTCCAGTGGGGCTCCAGCACTCACTTGCAGCTCAGTACACAACCGAGGTGTTGCCTGAGGCAGGACTGTGCTTTCTGCTCTTCTGCAGTTGTCCAAGTGGGTATAACCCCACTGTACTGTCCTTGTGGAAATCATTGCAGAGACCGAGACTGCCGTGATAGGTTTGGTGTGTTTTGCTGAGCCTTGCAGGGTGTGGGTTTGTTTACTTCCAAAAAAAATTACCTTGGTGTGTACACAGAAGACGGAGTAGGGTATGGTTGGCTGAGGAGGATCCCCAGTGGAAACACACAGGGGGTAGAAGCCGAGTGAGATGTCTTGTCTCTGCTCTTTGGTCTCGTGTCTCCTCACACCAACCATATAGTAACTGTGGGCATTTCAGGTTGCTATCGGGAATCTTTTACACCCACTGGAAGTGAGACACCACTTCAGCTGTTAAATAGAAATTTCACAAACCTCGATCAGGTGTAATGAAATTATTCGATTTAACAATTTTCTCTGTTATCTGAGAGCAGTCATTGTTGCAGCTTTATGTTACTTTTGACATTGCAGCAGTCTTGTCTCATTGGTAGGAGGGGTTTCAAACAGCATTTTCTTCCCCTTGCAAGGTTAGGAATTCCCCTTCTCACATTATAGCCTGACCCTTTTATATCTTGCAGCGGTAGCATCGCAGAGGGCAGCAGATAGTAACAGGCAGAGAGTTACTGCACTTAGCTTCTGGCTACTCGCTGGTAGATGCCCTTGGTCTGACTTGGTGAGTGATTACCGGATAGTTTGGCACCGGGCTGATGCCGCACTGAATTGTGACTGATTCATTGGGCTGAAGTATGTCACTAATTTAATTTAGCTATTTCATTAATCTGGTTGAATTGCGTCCAGCTGTTAGAGGTGTATGAAGGAAAGGTACCTGACACGCGAGGCAAGAGCACTAACCTCTGCATTAAACCATAAAACAGTCGTTAGGACATCTAATGCTGAAATTGAATTGCTCCATAGAAATTTGGGTTCCAAGCACAATACTAATTAGCTGTAAGCTTGATGAATGTCAAGAATTAATTAAAACATTTCAGTGGCCTGTGTGGGTTTTAAATATTGTCATTATTGCCCCAATATTTTCAGTTCTTACACTAATTGCTTTTTAGAGAGCATGAATGGAATTATCTTCTTTAGTGACTGATGGCACTAACGGTTCATTACATCGCTGAAAATGGACTTCCTTGCCTCTGGATTTCCCCTTTTTTCCTAAAATTTATCTACCCTTTTTTTTTCCCCTTCTGTGCATGCACTGCAAATAGAAAGGTAAAATCAGTAATTTTAGACCAAACTTTGTTTGGACAGCACTTCTAGTTTTTCTTCCTTAGCTGTACTCTGGAGGCCAGCATGCTGTTGTTACCTACTTTCATTTTGGCAGCAGGGAAATAGCTACAGCTCCATCAAAACATTCTTGTTTTTAATTAAATAGGATGTCAGCCCAAACCCATGATTATTTTGTCCTGTTAATGAAAGGCCTGCAACAGTTTAAACATTAGGTACATGAGATGTCAGCAAGATGTTGGGAAATTCTGCATTGAAAGGGAATTCATAACCAAAATCAGCTTTTGGTTGTTTCTCAAATATGATCTTAATGTAAAAATAGCAAAATTTTTGGTGTGGGAATCGCAGATGCATAGTGCAGTCTGCTCATATTCCTTGTCTTTGATGGGTGTTTCCATATGTTTGGCTACATAGCGAGGATCAATGTCAACATTCCATGTGATAGGCTGCAGACATATGTATGACAAGAACATGAGTTGACATGAGATAGGAAGAGCCGTCACACTTGGAGGGCCTGTAGGAAGGCTCCTCTGAGTGTCGAGTAGTGCCAGAAACACAAACTCCCAGGCTACAGCTTGGTGTGGTGCCCCGTCGCTTGCTTCATGTGCAATCACATGTGAGAGTCCTCAGTGCCTGTTCCTTGGGACACAGAGGGAGAAGGATGGGGACACCATGTGTCTGCGAGGCGTAGGTGGTGCCTGGGAGGGTGCCAAAGCGGGGAGAATTGACAGGATCTTTTACAGGGCTGTGTTACTGACTTGCCTGCATAGGTGTGATGAACCCACCGTGCCTGCATGAGCTCAGCGGTGGTGTTTTCCGTACAAGTCAGTTTAGGACCTTTTGCGGAGGTTAGCTTCGTTTTCACCCTGAGGTTCGCTTACAGAAATAAGGTTGTGCTTTGTTTAATTTTTTTGTGAGGATGTTAGATGGTTACTGTGTGATAATAGCATTAAGCGTGATGGCTCAGAAGTCAAGAAAATGCTTGTTCATTATCCCTTCTTTCAAAGCTTTACTTTAATAATTGATTACGCCATAACCCTTCAGAGTGAGAAACGCATTCAGTATTGTACTTTTTAAAATAAACTGGTTTTGGGTAGTCGTCTCAATGCTGATTGCCTGGAGGCATAACACAAATATATCCTGAAGAAAACAGTTATTTGGATTGCCAGTGTTGTAAGAAGCTCAATTCCAGGTTACTTGCTTTTGTCTCTCCCATCCCGTTTTCCTGCCCAAGGGAGTAATCAGTTCACTCCAGCCTGTGAAACAAGTGGCAATAAATGTGTATCAATATCATGTCAGGCACATTTTTTTATGAAGGTATGATCCGTTCAGTGTCTGGAGATGAAGAATGTGGTCAAGATACACAAGCCCTTCTGGGTATGGATGTGATGTCTTTGGAAGGGCGTGATGCAGAAGCTCAGAGCGACCACATACTCAAGAAAGCAGAGCTGAGAGTATGGTTCAGACCGTGACGGCCCGGTAGTTCATGGTCAATCCGTTTCATTGCTGTGTCTCCAAAGGGACAGCGGAGTGCCCAGCTTTTGTGCCTGTTTAAAACACTGAGCCCACTGAAATCAGTAGGAAATAAGGCAGATGGTAAAGATATGCAAGTGGTTCATAATAAACAAAATGAAGGTAGAAGAAAAATCCCTAAAATGCATCTCTCAAAGGTAAACCTGACTCTCTCTTTCTCTCTTCTCCTTTTTTACGCAGTGCCGGTCCTAAAGGAGATAACATTTATGAATGGAGATCTACTATACTCGGACCCCCAGGTTCTGTATACGAAGGAGGTGTTTTTTTCCTGGATATCACATTTTCATCTGACTATCCATTCAAGCCACCAAAGGTAAGGGTAAGGTTTTATATTGTGTTTATCATTTCTTCACATGTGAGAAGAATGTAACTTGCAGCGAGTGAATGCTCATCACTTTCTGAATATCAAAATTTGTTTACGGTCTCTTGAAAACTACCAGGTCCAAAATCTTGGTTTGCACTCTCTAATTTATTTCCCAGTTGCCACAGTCAAGACTGATTTCCACGCTATACCGAGAGATAAAAGAGATGATAATTCTGATCAAGAGTTAAGATTCAAGAAATTATAATTTCAATAGAAGACAGTGCAAGACCTTTCTATGCTTCCTTCTTCTTATTACAGCTAATAAGATATATGTATAATAAACTTTTTTTCTGTTATGAACCAGATTCTATATTGCATATTTTCACATAATTCTTAGGAAAATAACAGAAAGCTAAGAAAAGTTTAGATAGACAACTAGAGTGTTAGTGTCATGAAATTAGGTAAATTGCTGTGATGATTTCCATTATTGTAAAATATCAATCTATTTACTATTGGTAAAATCAACAACCTTGTTTGATAACATATTTAAGCAAAAACTCTTTTTATTAAATGAAACTAATCTTAAATTAAAATTTCATTTCCTTATTCAGAAATAGTATGAACACTTAAGAAATCATAATTTACTAACAGAGTTCAAAGAAGTTGCAGGTTGTTCCCTTCTCCCCTCCCTGAATGCTAAATTACAACTCTTGGCCAAGTCACTGGAAAGGACACTGCTGGCACTTGCAAAGACTAAATACATTCTACCTCACAACGTTCCTACAACTTACAGCTCTTGTGCCTATAACATTGTTATTGTAAATCAAACACCTTTTTTCATCCCAGAAGGATTACAGCATAAAGAATAATATACTCTCTGTGTATTTCACAATTCTCCAAAACCCATCACATTTAATATTGTCTGGGTTAAAGTGGTTATAAGGAAGTGATGCAGAGTTTTAGACAATTTCCTCATGAAATTCTTGTAGATTTTTTTTTTTTTTTAGAGCATGGTCATTTTTTAATTTTCAGTAGTTTCAGTGAACATTGTGGATTTCCTCCTCCTTCAGCAGTATGCTTGTGCTTTATGTAATTAAAGCACTTAAATATTTCATAGAATCACAGAATGGTTTGGGTTGGAAGGGACCTTAAAGATCATCTAGTTCCAACCCCCCTGCCATGGGCAGGGGCACCTTCCACTAGACCAGGTTGCTCAAAGCCTCGTCCAGCCTGGCCTTGATTTCTAACTTGTTATTTGTGCAGAATGATGTTTACATGCTTTACCGTTATTAGTCTGAAATAATTTAAGAACAAGGATGGTGATAGTTGGCGTGATAGCATTGTTTTGGCTATATATTATGACCTGCCTAATGAAGGGTGAGGTAGAGATTTCACTGCTAATTTGAACACGAATAATACAATACTCCAATTTTAAATATTAATTTTCATGGTCTATGTTTAGGCTTTTGAAAGAAAGGACAAGGTCAACTAATACTGCACACACAACCAAATTCTGTCTACTTCTTCACCTCCAGAAACCGCAGTAAAGTTAACTTTGTTCTTGTCATGCAGTGTGTTCACTAAATAGTGTACGGTACTACACAGTAGGTCCCAATTTCTGTGGGTGCCAGACAGAGGGCCTGTGCGAAAGCAGTTTATGCACCAAAGATCTCCATGGTAGGTTTCTTAAAGGCAGCCGTGACTACAGTAAATACGCACACCTCTGTTAAACAACTGTGTGCTAGAAAACGAGCAGAGAGGAGCTGTCTCCATGGAAGCTCTGCAGAACTGGGAGCGCCCCGGACCTGCTGCTGCTCAGAGACAAGGGGCAGCATCCCTGGGCAACACTGAACGAGTCTGTCTCTTATGCTGTGATTCTAGGTTACTTTCCGTACCAGAATTTATCACTGCAACATCAACAGTCAGGGAGTCATCTGTCTGGATATCCTGAAAGACAACTGGAGCCCTGCTCTGACTATTTCAAAGGTTCTGCTGTCTATTTGTTCTCTTCTGACAGACTGCAACCCAGGTAAGGAGCTCATAGTTTGCTGAGCATCCACTCTTAGTCCTTTGCCTTCATTGCGATGGAATGTAATTTGTATATTTGATTGTGTGCAGGTTAAATAAAAGTTCAAATTTTTAAAATTGGGGATGAAACGCTCCTGCTTGGATGCGGCCCCACATTTAATGGCACTTTTCACTCCAGTGGCACAACAGAAAGTAAATAGCATTAAGCCCGAGGCGTGGTGGGGAAAGTAAGCTGATGTCCTCGAAGGTCTGTGCTGCAGAAGCTCCAGCAAGTGAGTGGTCGATCCAGGAAAGCAACAAAGTTCTCGGGTTATAAACTCATAAATCCTGCAGGTCGGAAGGGGCCGCAGGGAGTCCCTTCTCTTAAGACAGCAAGCAAAACCTTTAATCTTGCAGCTGTGAGGGGGACAATGTTCAGAGAGATTTTTCCCTTTTTGAGAGAGATCTTCTTGTTCCTGTCGGGAGGAGAGGAACTCCACCGGGAGCAGTACAGTTTCTCAGCAGCAGCTGCGTGACCAGTGTCATTAGGCACTGAGCGGCAGTTGCCTGCGGTCAGGTAGGAGCCGAGCGGTAGTGCTGAGGGGACAGTTCATTGACAGAAGACTGGTGGTGGTCAGGGGGGAAGGGATGAGCCTCTCCCATACCAAAGTTTGATGTCACTTGAAGCAAACCGGATCCCCTCTGTGTGTGTCCTACAGTCCCGATACCCTCATGTGCACTAGTCTTCTCCAGCTGTGTGACCGGAGTGCGCCAGGATGCCCTCGCTGAGTGACCCAGCCGCCCCTCCAAGGGGGCAGGCAGGGCACCTGGCTGGGGCAAGCTCCATTGGTAGGCAGATAACCACACAGGGGTCTCTTTCTCTGTTCACTGTGCCTTGTGTGCTTTCTCTTGGAAATGTCTTGTATGATAAGACCCCCACGATATCTCACAGCATTTTCTGGCCTAACAAAGACAATATTTTTGGAATAGATTCTGTATTTTAAATCGTGTTTATTACTGTTTGGGGTTATTTTTATGATGGAGTGGTTTCTTAATGCATCTTCTCCTGCCTTTTGCAGCTGACCCTCTGGTTGGAAGCATAGCCACTCAGTACCTGACCAACAGAGCAGAACATGACAGGATAGCCAGACAGTGGACCAAGAGATATGCAACATAAATGACAAACTACTTGTGCAGTGTGAAGGTGCAGAAGGCAGCTTTGCACTGTGCAACAAATCTTTATAGCCTTTACAATACGGACTTCTGTGTATATGTTATACTGATTCTACTCTGCTTTTATCCTTTTGAAGACTGGGATACTGCCCCCCAAAAAGGTAAATGCTATCAAGAGTAGAAATTTGTAGCTGTAGATTAGTTATGTTTAAAATGCCTACTTGCAAGTCTTGCTTCTTTGGGATATCAAAATGTATTTTGTGATGTACTAAGGATACTGTTCCTGAAGTCAACCAAATATTATAGTGCATTTTAGCCTAATTCATTATCTGTATGAAGTTATTAAAGGTAGCTGTAGATTACTAGGAATTATGTCATTTGTATTAAACCCAAATCTATTTCCAATATGTGGTACATGCTGTTGTGAAAACTGTTTTAACTTTTACCTTTGTCAGTTTGTAATGAAAGGATTTCCTTTTTCCCTTTGTAGCTCAGAGAGCACCCAGTGTATCATCTCAAACACAATAAACATGTTCCCCAAGGAGTAGTTTCTTTGTTTTCCTATTTTAAATTAATATTTGAATAAATTTAATTATAGTAACAAGGCAGGGCCAATGTATCACAGATCCCTGTGGATAATTTTAAAATTAATATACGTAAGCAAAGGCTTGCTGTTAAATGTTTAATGCACACCTGTGGATTGTTTTGTTTTCCCTGTTTTTTGGAAGAGAACAAATGTCGTTTCTACAATTTCCTTAAATTTAATTCTGTTCGGCTCTTTCTCGAGTTAGAATGAGAGCATTGCTCCAGAAGTCACTGTCGCTGGTTACTTCAGGGCCAGTCCTGCTCTCATAACAGGCTGCCTGAGTCTTGCTGCAAACGTTTTTTGCAGGACAAGGGCCAAGTTCGAGGTAGCCTGGTGCTTTTGTTTCTGAGTAAAGCAAGTCGGACTTGCTGATCTAGAGAACTGCAGTTACCCATTGAAAATGGTCTTCCAAAGCATGATTGAACACTATGTCATCTGTCCAGAAAAGAGAGGGGTAGAATAAATATGGTCAGATTTTTCTGACGTAAAAACAGTCTGGGGGCAATAAGCCTTCGTTAGTGAAAATGAAATCTGTAAAACTTTTAGACTACTTCCCCCCTTTCACTTTCTGACTTGGAAGTTTTGTAACATCTGTAAGTAACAAAGATACAGCTTTATAGTACATACAGTTTAAAAAGTAGAGTCACTAATAATTTTTTAATTTAAGCTTTTATAGGTTGCCAGTCACAATATTGATTATAAAAAAAGAGACTTGATCCCTTGAAATTATTTTTAAAAAATTACATTTAATTTTAAACTTTACAGCCTCCCTTACTACCTGGTGTTTTTGGAGATAATGTAGCACTTCCATCAGTAAGATGCTCTGCTCATTTAATATATGAAAACCGAATGTTAAGTTTAACTATTAAAGCAATAGAAAAATTGTTAAAGATTTAGATCTAAAGTTAGCCATCACTACGTAGGTCCCTGGTTTTTGTATCGCATAACCTTTGACCATGAATTGTCCACCCTACTTTAAATATTTCTACAGATTCCTGAAGGTGGCTTGAAGAACCGTGTATCCCAAATAACTCGACCTAGAAGCCAGTCTCTCTGGTAGCTACAAGATAGCTTTAGACTTCAGGTTATGAAGTGCAAAAGGGAATGAGAAACAGGGGATCTGGCAGGTGAATATGCCTAAGTCAGGTAACAGACTAATGCCAGGAGATGAAGTGCTGGAAATCACTGCTGAAGGTGACCAGAGTTTCTCATCACATCATTGGATGTGTGAGAAGTAGCACAGATTGGCAAAGAAAAAGGGGCTATCGCATCTGGGCTGGGCATCTACAGCCTGCTCGCTGCTGACCGTGAGCACACTCGTGGGTGACACGGTGCTCGTACACCGCTCCAGTGGAGAGCAAACTATGTACTTCACACGTTAACTGTGTTGCCTATAGACTTTACAGATATTTATATCATAAAATATTATGGTATAAAAATACAGGTTTTAATCCTAATTTTAATGTATTTTGGGTTTGTATTGTACTTACAACTTCAGATTCCTAGGTGTACAAGTGGGATGCCTTGCTAGTGTTGCCCCATCTTGCCTTCCTTGCAATTGGATCCTTTACACTGAATTCCCATCTTTTTTTTTTTTTTTGTCGGTTTGTCATTATTCTGTTCTTTTTTAATGTAGGTTTTTTGTGTGTAAATTTTATATTTACTGAAGTAAAGGTTGTTTTTGTGTAAACATTTAAACTTTAAAAAAAAGAAAAGAAGCTAATTTTGTTTCTCAAGTTCTCTCTGCTAAACCATGCAGTAGAAAGAAATTTGTATTGTTAAATAAATCAATTAGTTGTTAAATGAGAATGTGTGTCTGTTTTCATGGGGAGGGGAGAAATCCCTGCTGGAAATGAATCCAAAATACCAGTGGCAAAGAGCATCTGGTGTTTTAAACTATTTCCTTCCTGGCTGTGCTGGGGTGAATACCAGACACTATCAAAGCACAGGACTGATCCCAATTTACGGTTGTAATTTTCAGTTTCCTTCTTGTGGCCAGTCACTGGGTTTCATGTTGGGGAAAAAGTAACTGAACTGACATTTTTGTGAAAAGACCAACTGAAGATATTGCACATCCTTCTACCTTTCCATTGTGGATGGGCTTTTCTTGTTATGTTTTCCTTGGGGTTTGAGTGGGGAACGCACGCAGCTGGCTGGGAGAGTGCCCAAACCAGGCTCCGTGATCTCCCGGCACAAGGGGTGCTCAGGTGGGAACCAGCTGTCCCAGCCCTTGAGCTGTGACAAGTGCTGAGGGGCAGAGAGGGCCAAACCAAATGGGCCAACACGGTCACATTACTCTGCTTTACAGCTGAGGTGGTGGCTGTGTTCACAGCAAATACTTTGTCACGTCAAATGAGAAGGGATGGGTGAATGTAAAGGTATTAAACACAAATACATTGAATACAACAGAAAGGCAAATATGTATCAGCCTTGTTATTTCAGTACTAACATGTTCTTGGTAAGCTTCTTCGTGTTCTGTGATGTCTTAGTGCTCTGTGGGGCACCTTGTGTGGAGACGGTCTCACTTACTGATCAGTGTTGACCAGCAATCATTTCAAGTCTACAACCAGGAAGGGAAGGGAGTCGTGACTAGAAAGCAAGACTGCGGGGTAGCCTGAGCCACGGGCCAGGCTTGCAGAGCCTCATAAGGAAAGAAGGAACTGAACCAGTTTGGTTCATGCTCTGCTCCCTCCTTGCCTCTCGGGGGGAAAAGGAAACTGCTACACTTTGCTGCATGCTGGTTCCTGCTCTGTACCAGCTTACTTGTGGCCATGGGTATTGCAGAATTTGAGCTCAGGCTTCTCCCTTCACCTTAATCTGTGGGAACCAGATTTGTGGCCTTGCTGCGGCATCCCCACTTGCCTGCATGATGATGGGAGAGCTGCAGGGCTCAGGCTGAGGGGCTTTGCGGCGACTGGATGCAGCTCGGAGCTGTGCAGTAGCCCCAGCTGCCCCTTTGCCACTGTTGTTGCGGCTTCACTGCAGCCCTGCCCGGATCACCACAGTGCTGTAGGGGAGGAAGCTGAAGACCGCAGCAGCTTCTACATCGATCTCGTGGTCTTCTGCCCCTGGGGTTTCGTCTACATGGGCACAGGCAGCAAAGGAAGGACTCCTGACTCCAGGCTGAAGAGAGAAATTCATCTTTCCTGCGTTTCCTTCAGAAAAACTCAGCACTGGATACTTATGGGAAAGAAGGAAGGCCTGTGCAGGCATCCTGAACTAAACCAGCTTCAAAGGACGGTGACAGTAGCGTGACTAAAACGAGATTTGATTCAGCTGTAAACCAGCATTGTATTTCTGCAGCCTGTGCTATAGCCAGGGCAACAGATGCCTTTGAGAAGTTGGCGCTGTCTGGTGCACAGTATCCCTTCAACGTCTGCACGGTGGCACTGCTTGCATTTGTATTGCCTGGTAACTCCCCAGGCTGAACCGACTCCCTTTCCCTCCCCAACCACCCCAACGGAAAGTGGCTGGAGAGGATCCCGAGGCTACAGGAGAGATTGTGTAATAGAGCACATGTTTTAAAGGGAGAAGTGAGACCACAGCGGCTGCTTGTACTGCTACATGACCTTGCTGATGTTGATGATAATTAGACACGTTCAGCTGTAACTTAGGTGGAAAAGCACATCATGCACTTAGAAGATAATTGCTGGAACGTTTGCAGCACATCAGGCCTTTTTTAATCCATAAAGATGGAAACTGCTTCAGCTTGTCTTCCCCCTACGCTCGGCATGCACGGCTCTCTGGAGTGCAGTTATGATTACCTCTGTTGCTGGGTAGAACAGAAAGCATCCAGCATACTAACAATTTGGGGGTTCCTTTAAAACTGCCAGGACTAGGTAGAATAAGAGGCATAGTGTGAAAAATATACATATCTCATCCCCTCATGGTGAGTACGTCTGAGCACAGGCTCTGCACCTATAGGGGTGTAAGATGTGCTGGGACCATGTGCATGGATGCCAATGCGTATGTTTTCTTTCACTGTCACCCTTACTGCTCGCCTGCAAGTGTGGTGTGCACAGTGCTATCTGTTTACATACAGTTTCCAAGCATTGGGAAGTGCTTTGTAACTTTGTTGTCCAAGATAAGCATCTCTCTGAACCATCCTGAATTGTTACCCTCCACAACATCCTTTGACATTGAATGCTACAGTTTAACTACAGACTGTATCAAAAAGTACTTGGTTTGTGATGAGATTGTTCCATGTAACCTGCTATGGGAACACTATTTTATGCCTCCTAGTTTTGTACTGTGAGAATTAATGAATAATTGTGTCTGTTCTTTTTGATCCCATTTGTGATTTTATGTAGCACCATGATTATCAGCTCCTCTTTTTCCAGGCTGGAAAGTTTCTCATTTGTTTGACCTCTCCCTGTATGTAAGATGCTTTGCTTATCCTGGTCACTATTCTCTATACATTTTGTAGTTCTGCTCCAGCTAATTTAGAGGAATGTGAGCTGTGCACCGTATGCAAAAGGTGAACTCACAATTCATCTGGAATAATGTTTTCTGGTTTAGTCTGCCTCCTTATGAATGTGTACTACTCTGCCTTTTCGACCATTGCTTATTGCTTTGCTAATGTCTTTGTTAAGCTCTGTTCAGAGATGCTGGAATCTCTTTTCTGAGCAATAGCTAACGTAACCTTTCATGTAGGACTAACAAATTTGTCATTCCCAATATCCGCCGCTTTGTATTTATCATCACCAAATTTATCCGTCATCTTATCTCCCAGTTCTCAGTATCATGAAATCCTTTATGACTCTCAGCAGTCAGTTTTAGAGTAGTCTGCCTTGAATATTGACTGCATGTGCCGCATACGCCAGGGGTGGGAGCAGCAGCAAAAGTAATAGCGAAGTGCGCTGGATGGGTCTGTCTGCCAAGAAGTGATGGGTCCCTGAGGACAAATTATCAGCTGGCTTCTGAATGGCACAAATGAAAGCAGCTGCCAACTGTTT